CTGTGCTCCTTCATGTATCATAATTTGCTTTTCTGTTTCCCAGTTGATGGACATTTAGGGTGCCTTTGATACTGGGCCTTCACACTGTTGTAGTGAGGACTCTGTGAGATCCAATTTTTAGTTACATTTTGTATATGGTATGAATTAAGGGTCCAAATTCATTCTTTTGCATGTGGACATTTAGTTTTCCCAGAACCATTTGTTGAAAAGACTGTCCTTTCCCCATTGAATGTTCAACCCTTGCTGAAAATCATTCAACCATATATGTGAGGGTTTATTTCTGGGCTTTCTATTCTCTTTCATTGGTTTATATAGCTGTCCTTATGCCAGGACCACATTTTTAATTGCTGTAGTTTTACAGTAAGTTTTGAATACAGGTTGTAGGAGTCCTCCAACTTTGTTGTTTTTTGTTTTTTTCTCAAGATTGTTTTTGCTACTAGGGTCCCTGCAATTCCATGTGAATTTGAAGATCAGCTTTTCAATTTCTGTGAAAAAAACTGTTGAAATTTTTATAGGAATTGTGTTAAATCTATAGATCACTTTAGGTAGCACTGACAATGTTAAGTCTTCCTATCCATGAACATCATGCATTTCCCTTTATTTAGGTCTTTTTAAATTTCTTTCAGAATGTTTTGTAGTTTTCAGCATACAAGTCTTTTACCTCCTTGATTAGATTTATTCCTAAGCATTTAATTCTTTTAGATGCTACTGTAACTGGATTTATTTTCTTAATTTCTTTGAATTGTTTATTGCTAGTGTATAGAAACACCACTGATCTGTGTGTTGATCTTGTACCCTGTAACTTTGCTAAATTCATCAATTAGCTCTAGTAACTTTTTGGTGAATTCTTTGGCATTTTCTATGTATAAGATAATGTCACTATGAATAGAGATAGTTTTACCCCTTTCTTTCCAACTTGAATGCCTTTTATTTCTTTCTGTTGCCTCTAACAGCTCTGGCTAGAACTTCCAGTACAATGTTGAATAGCAGTGATGAAAACAGGCTCCCTTGTCTTGTTCCTGATCTTAAGGAGAAAGCTTTCAATCTTTCATCATTGTTTGTGATGTTAACTGTCTGTTTTCCATAAATACTGTTTATCACGTTAAGGAATTTTCTCTCTAATCCTAGTTTTCTGAGAGCTTTTATCATGAAAGGGTGTTGGATTTTTGAAATGCCTTTTCTTCGTCCATTGAGATGATCACACACCCCCCCACCACCATTGTTCTGTTATTGAGAAATATTACATTGATTAATTTTCTTATTTTGAATTACTTTTGCATTCCTGGAATAAATCTCATTTTTTTTCATGGTGAATAATCCTTCTGATATGCTGTTGGAATCTGTTTGTTAATTTTTTGTTCAGGATTTTTGCATCTATATTCATCAGGGATATGGGTCTATAGTTTTCTTGTGTCTTTCTGTCTTTGATATCAGGGTAATGCTGGTCTCATAGAATCCACTAGAAAATGTTCCCTCCTCTTAGATTTTTTCTTTGGAAGAGTTTGAGAAGCAGGCCTTTCTACTCTTAAACAACGTCTAAGTGTTGGCATGTTCCCCAGCTCAGTCCTGGTCCCCTTTTCCTTCTGTTCACACATTCATTTTCCTCATCCCTAAACACACCTATGTTTAGATGCTTCCAGATTTGTATTTCCAACCTGACCTCTTCTCTCAGCACCAAGCTCATTCAGTGAATGGTCCATTCTACAGGTCTGACAGGCATCTCAATGTTTATATGTCTTCTCCTCCAAAATCTGCTTTCCCCCCAGTCTCTCCCATCTCAGTGAGTGGCACCTACCTCCACCTGCCAATCAGTCCCAGAATCCTTGAATTGCTGATTCTTACCTGCAGATAGCAGAAGCCACTGTAGCTAATGTATGCAGTAATGGATGTAGTAGGAAATATCAGATAGATTATAGCATCTGTGAGAGGGTCAGGTAACAAGGAACAGCCAGAATCATCAACAACCTGGAGAAACACCTGACCATGCTGTACGACTGTGTTAGGAAAATTCCCACCGTCCTACTCCCTTCTGCTCAGCACCACTGCTGCCAGGGATAGGACCTGAACTTCCCTAAACAAACTAAACACATTCACCACCAATCTGCCCTGACAGCCGCTACTTCCTGTAGCTCCTTCCATATCTTATGTGGTGTATGTTGTAGCAAAACCAGGCACATCTGTGATCTCAGATGCAAGGGATCTGGGGCATGCAGAAAGGCACGCTAGAGGCAGTGGGTGTGGGTCTTGCTCAGCTAATTCGGAAAACCTCCCAGTGACCTCCTTGGTTTCTCTTTCCCTCACTCTCCATAGCCAGCTGTCAGCCAGTCCTCTCAACCTTCTCTGCCTCTAAGTATATCCTGCTTTGACCATTTCTCACAACCTCTGTCATCCCCACTTTGATCCAAGCCTATCACTCTCACCAAGATTGTGGCAGTTGCTTCCTGACTGATCTCCCTGCCTTGACCATTTGTGGTCTGCACACTGCAAACAGGGTGAGATATTTGGAATGAAAATCAGATAGTGTCACTTCCTTTTCAAACTCTCTCCACAGTGGTTTCCCACGACACTCAGAATAAAACAGAATCCATCACAGTGACCTACTTATCCCTGCAGTCTTTCCAACCTTGTCCACTTTGCGTAGCCCTCATTCACCATGATCCTATATACACCAGCCTTCCCCAAGCACACCAGATCCATTCCCAGCCCAGGGGTTGCACAGGTGACTCCCTCACTTTCTTCTAGTGCCTGCACAGTCTTCTTTGCTTTGACCATCTGCTTTATCCAGATTTTTGTTCTCTGCTCATTGGTCTATCGTTTGTCTTCCTGCATTGGAATGTCAGACCCTCTAGGGACTGTGCAGTGACTGGCCAAAAGTAGGTGATCAGTAAGTAGTAAGTACCTTTTGAATAAATGAAACCATGTCATTTGTCCAAGTTTTGGGAAAAAACTTCTTAGAAAACATGCTCGACTTTATGGATGCACAGCAATGCAGGAACCAGATCCCTAGATATTGTGACAGCACATGGAGGACTCCTGGGCTTGCCCTGTGCCGGTCCAGCTTTCCTCTGCACAACAGGGTGTGGCAGGATAGCTTCCACCTGGAGGCCCTAAAGTCTCCAGTAAGAATGAGAGTCCAGGGCTGCACCTTGACCAGGCATTCGGGTTACTGTTGACCTCTCCTGAGGTCAGCTCCTGGATCCTGGAGGAGCTGATGAGGGACAAAGCCATCTGCTCTGGAGGTATGCCAACATTCCCAGCTCTGTCCTGGCAGGTGCTTTGGGACCACACAGCCTGGCTCCTGTTCCTAGAGCAGCATGGTCAGGACTCCTACTGGGAGAACAGGTAAGAGAAGAAGAAGACAAGGATGCTTGTGGGCCTCAGGGAGGTGCAGACAGGAGTAACACCCACATTCCCAGCACTCAAACTAGTGGGCTTGGGTTCAGTGGTTGGGATGGGGGGTGGGGTTGGGGGAGCTGGAGGTTCCTGGAAGCAAGACAGGGAACAACTATAGGAATTTAAAAATGCCCTGTCCAGGACAGGATCTCTCTCTCTCTCTCTCTCTCTCTCTCTCTCTCTCTCTCTCTCTCTTTCTCTCTCTCCCTTCCTCCCACCTCCCTCCCTCCCAGGAAATAAATAAATAAATAAATAAATAAATAAATAAATAAATAAATAAAATTTTTTAAATGCCCTGTCCTGGGGGAGGGCATGGAGCTCACCCCTGCCACCCTTACCTCATTCCTTCTGTAACCTGTGGCTTAGGTTTCAGCTCCGGTGCAGCTCTGTTCTCTGAACAACTGAACTTTATCCATAAATGAGCACATTTGTCTTAGAGCAGGGTGGGTGAGCCTGTGCCCAAGTTTCTACTCAGGACATAGCAGAGTGAGAAACCTGAAGACGGATGGGCTCTACTGGCAGACCCTCCTAGAAGAAGTGGGTTCACCTGGGACCCTGGCTTGCATCCCCAGCACACAGCAGGTGCTCAGGAAATGTGCTCTACCAAAACCCTGCAAGTCACCTAGCTACAGGAGAGTCGTTTTTCACTGGGGTGTGGGAGACACTGTTTTGGAGGTTGTCTATAAGCCAAGGCATTAGAATTGCAAACCCGGTGAGAGCCTGTTCAACTCTCTGGTGCCTGACTCCCCAAAGAGGGGAAAGTGGGACTCTGCTCAAGCCCCTTATTCTGGGACAAGGCCCAGAGGGCTCAAGAGAGAATCCCTGTAAGCAACATCCTCACTTGAACGGCAATAGAAGTTTGGTCCGTCTACACTAGCAGAAATTGAAGTCCACTTTATCTATACCGGCGGAAATCAGGGGTACAACTGTCTTCATTAGTCCGTCTACACCAGCGAACATCAGAGACCTGTCTGCACTGGGGAAATTAGGGTTCAGTAGTCTTCATTGACAGAAAGCAAGAGTGCGGTCTGTCCACACCAGCGGAAACAGGGCGCACAGCCACCACCACTAGTCTGAGAACAAAATGGCAAGTCCCCGAGGCTTCGAGAGAACAAAGTAAAAGCAAATGCCACCGCTGCCCCGCTCCAAGGGGGAGGAGCCCCGCCGGGCCCCGCCCAGGTGAGAGCCGCAGGTCCGGGCACGGGCACTCAGGGTGCGCCGCCCCGGGTGCGGGGAGGACCCCACCCCCGCCTGTAAGCCCCGGGTGGGGTGGGAGGTTAGGCTCCGCCCCTCCTGGGAGCCTCCGCAAGGTGAGACCCCGCCCCCGCCTGAGAGCCCCCGCGGGGTGAAGCCCCGCCCCCTCCTGGGAGCCGCGGAGTGGGGGGCGGTGTGGATGGGGGTGGTGGGCTGGGGTGAGACCCCGCCCCTGCTGGGAGTCCCCGCGAGGTGAGGCCCCGCCCCCGCCTAGGAGACCCCGCGAGGTGAGGTTCCGCCCTCGCGGCCCGCCCACCGCTTCCGCCGCCGCAAGGGGTGGGGGCGCGGCCGGGAGGGTCCGCCAGGCCGACGGCGGACCCTGGTCACGCTGCGGCTCCGGCGGCGGCCTCCGGGGACCCTGGCCCCTGGGGCCGGACAAAGGCTCACCACCATGGCTCTCAGCGCGGACGGCTCCGGCGACTCGGGCTCGAGCGCCCAGGTAGGGACCGGCCGCGGGGGCGCAGGGCGAGGGTCCTGGGTGCCGCCGCCGCGGGGGAGGAAACGGGCTTTCTCATCTTGGAACGCAGTTTAGCAAACTTTTCCCTTAGCTCATGAATATTTATGAGGAAGATATGCTTTCCAAGTCGGTTTTGCGTTCCCGGGGTCCGAAGGGAGTGCAGAGGGAGGGGGATGTAAGACAAAAAGACACTTGTGACATTGTTGCCAAGGATGAGAATGTTCCTAAGTTACTCATTAGCTCAAAACGGGTAGGAGAAACCAATGAACTATGGTGCACGAAGGCACAGGATTTTTACTGAAAGAAATGCCAAGATGGACTTTCATGTTGGAAGGTCAGTTGATTTAAATAGTGAACACTGACTAAGTGTTCATGAAACAAGACAGTGATTTCAGATTTGGAGAAGTGATGGAGGCTGTTTTATATTGCTTCGTGTGAAATGCAAAAACTGTATTGGGTTTGTCGTTCCCTTTTTCCTGTGAAACTAGATTAAAGTGTTTTGGTAATTACTCTAGACTCCTGTTACCCAACAGCAATTTCACCTAAAAAATTTAGTTGGTACTTTCAGGTGTCTAATTAACAATTAAAACATATAATTCAAAATTAAGTTAAATGTAGTTGAAACTGTGCATAATTAATACCTTACGAAATGGCTGTGCTAAATACGCAGTAGGCACTGGGAGGAGGGTGAGCTTCTCATCTCCATGTAGAGAGATTTCTTTTTTTAATTTCTTTTTTTAATCCTCACCCAAGGACATTTTTCTGTTTATCTTCATATAGAGTGGGAGGGAAGGAAGGAGAGAGAAACATCTATGTGAGAGGGACACATCAACTGGTTGCCTCCCACACAATCCTGACCAGGGCCGGGGACTAACTGCAACTGAGGTTCATACCCTTGACTGGAATTGAACCAGCAACTCCTTGGTCTGCAGGCCAGTGCTCTAACCGCTGAGCAAAACCTACCAGGGCCATGTAGAGACATTTCAAAGTGGACAGAAGTGAGGTTTGGCTTCCATTTCCCCAAGACTGCCTCACATCCACAGCGTCTCAGGGTCAGGAGGAACTACCCAAGTCGCTTTATGGGAAATGTTTGCTCTCAGTGAAACATATCCAGAGGCAGAAAAGAGGTGTTACATGTTTCCATTCACAATGGGATCCAGTCTGCAGAGCTGGGCATCTGCCACTTGGATAACAAACCCGTTTTTGCTTCTGATGAGACACCACGTTTTGATCTTACTGTGCTGGGTCTAGTCTGCAAATGTTCAAGGAGGCCTGGGTTGGGAGCAAGGTGGACTATCCAGATGGGATGCAGAGGACCGAGCCCTGACCTTCCTGATGGGTGGTTGGCCTGGATGCCAGGTGTTCTGTGGCTAGCAGGACAGTCCTCATGTTTTATTCCATTAGATGGGTTTGGTGTGGGTCTAGTCTGAAATGGCCTTGGTAAAATTAAGACCTTTGTGCCCATGGCCTCTGTTAGTTCACAGTGGTGGTCTCACTTGAATACTTGTAAAAGCTAAGGAAATAAAGTCGGCCCTGAATTTGTGCTAAGATGTGCAACCCAACAAAGGAGCCCCCCAGGTTCATTAAAGCCCAGTCACACACCACCACCTCCCTCCTTCCACACAAAACCTCTCTTTATGTTTGAACAAAAATACAAGTCACATAGAGCCTGCTAGGCCCTAATAGCAGCCGGCGCAGGTGTGATACCCATTCTTCAGATGGTGGAAAGGGAGGTTTTTTGTTGCCTGGTGTCCCCCAGCCAAGAAGCAGCCCTGAAGCAGTGGTTTTCTTCACTACAGGGCTATGCCCTGAGGCAGTGGTGTGTCTGCTCAGTACTGAGCTTAGGGCTTCTGTGCCTTGTCCAGAAGCTCTGGGGGTGGGGATTGAGGCTTCCTTACCTGCATCCCAGAGCCCTGGGCTCACTGGTCCAGATGAGGAGAATGAGCCCAGGGTGCTTCTGAAAAGTGAAGAATCAAGAGAAGAGGCTGGGGTGAGGGATGTGAAGATGTGGAGGGTGGGCTGAGAGATGCTAAGTCCTGCCCTGCACGTGTTGATCCTGGGGTGCCTGGGGAATCTGGGGTCTTGTGAGGAGAAGACATCCCATCTTCGCTATTTAGCCTACTCGGGCCAGGAGGGCAGGTGCTCATGGAGTGGGGAAGAGGCACCAGACCCTGATCTGGTACCCAGAGAAGAGGCCTGGAGTCTTAGAGTTTGGATGTGCATCTGCATCTAACTTTTATTAGCTGTCTGCCTTTGAGCTAGTAGTTCAGCCTCTCTGAGCTTCAGTCTGTACATCGTCTATAAGAATAGCACATGCCCACCTACCTCTTGGAGCACCATAGGATCTAATTTAAAAATGGATGTGTAGATGCTTCTGGAAAGGAAACCCAGTTCATCATTTAGCTGTGTGTCCTCAAGTTGAATGCTGCCTCTGTCCTGATATTTGGGACACCTTTCTGGGTGTCTCCAGGTGTCTCTGTTCACATCTGGGCCCAAATTTTCAAAAACAGCTTTCAGATACTTTTAGACAAGTGTCTGACCTTACAGAATTTTCTTCAACACTGGGAAAATCAAATTGTGCAAAAGGTACTCTGTGCTGAATTTCTTTTATATCGCTTTAAAACTACTTATGTTTCTGAGACTTAGGAATGGGTTTAAATCTAATACAACAGTTAGGAATGAATTAATTTGAAGTTCTGCACTAGAATTAATCAAGTCAGCCAGGTAATAAGAATGTGTATCTCTCCTGGAGAAGTCTCACCTGCTTACAGCCCCTTGATCCAAGGACCCCCAGTACTGGTAGGCATCACCCTCACATCTCCTCCCAACAGCCTCTTTTCTGCTTGGTTTCTCCATTAGGTGGGTCTCCTCCATGTGAGGGTCCAAACTTAACATCACCTATGCCTGACTCTCCTTGATTGCTTGTCTCTCCAGGCTTTGTTCCATTCTCCTTGTTTCTCTGGTGCCTGGAATAGTGCATGGCACACAGTATGTGTCACATGATGGTGACCCTCCCCTTCTAAAGCCTACTTTCACTCCCCTGTCCAGTCCAACCTTCTGTGGGCCACCACACAGATGCAGAGCTTGCCTTGTGGGACCTGAGGGAGCAGCCAGTGCATAGCTCATTCTGGGAAACCTTGTTTAAGTGGGATATAGTGAAAGCAGACTGAAGACAATTACAGAGAAAGGCTTAATAAACCCTGGTGTGATGTAATGAATGTGCTTTGTGTGTGTGTTTTGGGGGTGGGGATGATGGCGAACAGAGCAGAAAAGAAATGTCTGAATTAATTTCAAATGAGTGGAAAGGGCAGCCAGGAGGATGACCCCTCCCTTCATTGTCAAGTGGAGGAGATGTGGTTTGGCTTGGTAGAAACTTTGACCTGTAATTAGCTGTGGGCCATCAGGTGACTTTGCCTGGAGAGTGAAGGGGCTGGAATGAGTTCTGAGAGCTCTTGACTGTGTCCCTGCTAGAATGAGACAAAGGGCAGTGCAGCACAGAAGCAGCGGCTTGGTGGTTGGGGTGTAGGCTGTGCAGCCAGACAGGCCTGGGTTCAGTCCTCGTTTCCCCACGAGTGGGTGGGCAGGCCAGCCCCTCACCTCACCATCTTGAGAGTGGGGATGATAACAGCATTACAGTGTGCTTAGAACAGTGCCTTCAGTACTTGAAAAATGTTAGCTGTTATTCTGTGATTCTGTGTATAGAGAGATTTTCCTACAAATAAGAGGTAATAAAAAGGCCTGAGTTTTAAATTTTTGTCAAATCACTTAAGGAAAAATATTCAATGAAGTTATCTTTAGGGAATTTTGTACTCAAAGATACCAGCTGAGAAGAATTATGATGACAATTGTGTACTGTTTCTAACAATATAATCATCTGTTTTTTAAAAAGAAGTGTTTTGTGGAAGTGCCCAAATCAGTAGGCCGTGAACTCCACTTCGTTCCAGGGTCTCAGAGCTTTTCTTCTGGAGTATTATTCAGAGACTAAAGAAAACCTAATTGGACAAGCATTTAGTCATTGTGGAGTACCACATTGGGTAAGGGCGTGAGCATTTAGTTCTCAAACTGACATTTGTGTGTCTGGAGACTCTAACATCCCTGACTACAGCACAGAAACTCACGGTGGCCAGTGACATGTGTTAACTAGACTTGGAGAGGACTGTAACCTCCCCCAAAGCACAACGTTAAATAGGAAACGCATGTGCAAGGGTTGTTGGGAATAGAGAGCAACAACAACAAACGAGGAAAAAAGATCTTAGCACAATTTCTGGAAGGTACTGTTAACTAATTTTTAAAAAATGGTTTATTGAGGTGAAATTCACATGACAAAAAATTAACCATTTTAAAGCAAACAATTCAGTGGCATTTAGTACATTTACAATGCTGTGCAATCACCTCTGTCTAGTTCTAGAACATTTTTTTTTTTTGGTACATGCCCCTAGTGGGAATCGAACCTGGGACTCTGGTCCACAGGCCGACGCTCCAGCCACTGAGCCAAACCAGCCAGGGCTAGCTCTAGAACATTTATGTCACCCCAAAGTAAACCCCCCACATCCATTAAGCAGTTTCCCCTTATTCTGCCATTAATGTGCTCTCTGTCTGTGGATTTACCCGGTCTGAATATTCATGTAAATGGAATCATACAGTATGTGAGTCTTTAAATTGTGTTAAAATATATATAACATGGAGCTGCTGCGGAGCCGCCCAGACCTGCCTGCCCCGCTATGGCCGAGAACAACTGGGACATGGTGAGGGTGCTGCACAAGGGCCTCAGAGCTGTGCATGCCAAGTCCAGGCAGACCATTTGAGTGGCTCAAAGAAGAGGAGATGTGGAGACTTCCAAGAAATGGGCCTCTGGCCAGAACAAACAGCATTTGATCACTAAGAACATGGCCAAGCTGGACTGGATGACCCTGGAGCTGGGCATGGTGATTCAGCAGGGCCAGCAGAGCAAGGGACTGATGCAGAAGGACCTGACGATGGAA